CCCTAAGGTATCCTAGTTCTTATCCTTCTGGAGAGCTGATGGTTTAGTTCTTCTTTTGAGGCTATGAGCTATTCAATGAGAGCCGAAGCCAACACAATTCCTTGTCCCTGTGTGAGGCAATACTGAGATCCAGCAAAAATTACTTAGCTTCATGTTCCAGGATATACGTGTTCCTGGAAGATAAGATTGTAAACCAATTAAAATCAGGACCAGTAGCTTACTCATCAAAACTCATTTCAAGGCCCTTGCTTCACTGTGCTCATTTAACCTAAAACTATTATATCATAAATTCTGCCCAGATAGTTCCCTGACTTGCTGACTTACTTTACAATCGTTATATCCAGACCGTAGAGCCCTATAAATGTTGGCTTTGTTTAGTGTGGTAGGTCTAATACACCTGGGTCAGCAGGTTTTTCTTGTGGTCTTTTGGCGAGCCAAAAGTCAGTATTAGTAAACAATCAATAAATTCTTTTTTGTTCTTGATAAGTCAGATAAAATTAAATTATGTTACCTGCAAGTAAATATTGCTAATTATATCATGCATTATCATACCTGCTCATAGAATGTCATTTTGTGTACAGTTGTCCCATAAAGTTAGACTGTCAATTTCTGAAAGGCAAAAGAAAATTGTCCTATTGAGGGATAATGTTAAACCATCTAAAATATAAAGAAATAGGGGTGCCTGGGTGGCTCCATCAGGTAAGCGTCCAACTTTGGCTCCCATCATGATCTCACAGTTTGTGAGTTTGAGCCCTGTGTCACGCTCTGTGCTGACAAGCTCATAGCTTGGATCCTGCTTCAGATTCTGTGTTTGCCTCTCTCTCTTCCCCTCCCCCATTCATGCTTTGTCTCTCTGTCTCTCAAAAATGAATAAACATTTAAAAAATATTTTAAAGTTTTTTTTTTTTAACGTTTATTTATTATTTTTGGGACAGAGAGAGACAGAGCATGAACAGGGGAGGGGCAGAGAGAGAGGGAGACACAGAATCGGAAACAGGCTCCAGGCTCTGAGCCACCAGCTCAGAGCCCGACGCGGGGCTTGAACTCCCGGACCGCGAGATCGTGACCTGGCTGAAGTCGGACGCTTAACCGACTGCGCCACCCAGGCGCCCCTAAAAAATATTTTAAAATGTACATAAAAAGAAAAGCTTACTACTTTGTGCCATGACCCGTCTCTCAGTTACTAGCATATTGCCTTAATCAAAGTAGATCCCCAATATCTATTGTTTGACAATGGCGGTATCTATTGTGCTAATTACCTACGGTCCATAACTTTTAAATAAGATACTACAGTAGACATTGTTGGAACGTCACCCATTTCCTCGTGGATTCTCTTTTCATTTCAGTGCAAGGCAGCCCCTGATTCCTACAACACAGCAGTAGCACGGTTATCTCAGGGCTGCCCTAGGGAAGTTGTTGCAGAGGCAGCCCTTAACTAATAACCAATGAGCATGAGGGGTAATTCGCCAAGGTCGTTCTGAGTTTCTCAGGGGGATAAATTTTGGTCATCCAGTGTGGTGACTGGCTTAAATAACACACCCTTTATGGATTGTTTTCCCTCTACCACCTCTCCACTCTCCAGTTGTACGGGGTGAGTTATACACAAACATGACATTCTTCAAACATGCACAATAACTGCCATGACTCAACAACTTTTTGTTTGCAAGTAATGGAAATTGATTTTGTCTAAGAGGGATGTGAATAAGAGGGATTTATTTATGGTTACTGGTGCTTACTCCCTGGATGGTCAGGAGATCAAGCACACCTAAGATTGCTTCAGGGTCTGCTTCTGGAGAGAACTCAACTAATACATGGAATTCTTAGGAAAGCATGTTATCTTTATCATTTCGTGGCAAAATAGTTCCTAGAATTGTACCAGAGATAATTTCTGGTCAAAAGTCAGTTAGATTGCACACTCCCTGACAAGAATGATGTCTGATTTGTCTTTATCTGTTGTCTAGCACAGTGGATATCACAGAGTGGATAATGAATAAACATCTGCTGAATGAATCTCCATGGTCTAAGTAGCCTGTCCACTGGACCTGATAATTCCAGGGATATGGCAATTACAGCAGACTATAACTGAACCATGTTGAGGGATGAAAGAGGCATTTATTTGTTTTAGCCAGTCCATACCTCAAAACCAGGACTGATTCTTAGGCAACACATACTTAGATGGTTGGACCAATTGTCCATGGTTGTCCATCCTAACACCTGCTTTACCTGTTGTGATTGGTATGGGCCCAGACTCTCCCACTTATTAAATAGTTTCTTAATATCCATGTTCATAACCATTTTTATCAACTACTTTATTTCAGATGTGCTTAAATCTTGCTCTTGAAATCTGGAGAGAAAGCTTTCATATTCTTGCATATACATTGTTTTATATCTCTTCTCACCATTTCCTTAGCACTTCAGAGAGAGAGAAAGAGGACATCTTGGCCAAAGTCATTGCCTATTTCTAAAGCAATGCACCTGATCGTGCATCCATGCACATATTTGTTTTCCTCCTTCGGAATTATATTTCTTTTCATTGATTGCATTGGCCTAGTGCCAGTCTCCTCTGTGGCATGTTAGACAGCATAAATATTAGTTTTGGTTGATACCATAGAATATTACTTATGATAACCTGGGCAGTTTTAACTCAGTGCTTAAAAACCAATCATCAGAAAATAATGTTGTAGTATCTAATTAGGTAAAGCACTGTAAAAGGGACAAAGGGGATATACAAGAATTTCAACAATGATATTTTTTTTTTAATTTTTTTTTCAACGTTTTTATTTATTTTGGGGACAGAGAGAGACAGAGCATGAACGGGGGAGGGGCAAAGAGAGAGGGAGACACAGAATCGGAAACAAGCTCCAGGCTCTGAGCCATCAGCCCAGAGCCTGATGCGGGGCTCGAACTCACAGACCGCGAGATCGTGACCTGGCTGAAGTCGGACGCCCAACCGACTGCGCCACCCAGGCGCCCCTCAACAATGATATTTGCCTTCTAAATATCTGATTCTAATCCAGGTGCGGTACATAGTATTTATATAGCCCCAGGCAATTAATTTAACCCTTGTGTCTCCTTTACTTATATGTCAAATGAGGCTAATAGCTACTGTGCAGATTTGTTGTAAAATTTTGAACACATAAATACTCCTTAACACATAGTAGGCACTCAAAAATGCAACTAACTGTATCAGTCTAATGTCTAATGTCTAATGTCATCAGTCTAATTGCAAAGTTGAGATGTAAAACACATGTAACAGTCTAAAATATCACATGATAGATATAAAAAAGCAGGTACATTTTTCACCTGTACAGAATCTATAGTACTGTGAATTGGGGGGAAACAGCCATTCTGGGCTGGAGAAATCTAGGGAAGCCTTTAGGAGTAAGTGAAATTAGAATTGAGTATTGGAGAAGGGGTAGACTTTGAAAAAACATGCTCCCTGTCTTAAGAGGAGACAGTATAAGGTGTGTGAAAGTCCCTGGGCGAGCTGCCTTAACCACACTGTGTTAGGCTTCCGGGCTCAGAGGCTGTGGACAGGGGTAGAATGAGCCTAAGAGTCGTCTCTTTGATCATGAAGAGATCAGATTAAGCAAGTCAAAATTTGGCTATAACCACATGTAATTACTGCAGAAAAACAAGACTGTAATAGGCTAAATTTTGCGAGGAAACAGATAGTGTAGGGGCAGAGGCTGAGAACTTTGCCGACGAGGTCCTGGCTTATTCAAAGATTAGATGAATACACTCAGTATCTACTTTTTGAGAATCAACATATCTTTTTCTTTTCATTCTCCCTGGGATAAACATATCCATAGTGGTCAAAATGAATGCTAGAAGTAACTTGCTTTCTTATTTTTAATTTTATTTTAAAATAAGTTATGAAATCTTATCTATTTCACAAATGAAGATTCACTTTCTAACTCTTTTGCCCATGTCATGCAGGACTTTCAAGTTTTTCCTGCCTTGATTGTATTTATGGGCAAGAATAGTATTATAAATTATAACTTCATGGAATAGCAAATAGAAAAAAATATTTCGTAATTTACATTTTTCATTTGTCTTAAAATTGACCAGATTTTTAAGAAAACATATTTGTATAGGGTCTACCTAAAAGAAACCTTTAGAAATGAGACTAATGTAAAAGAAAAAATATGCTCGAGACTTATTCTTAAAATCATCATGTGCTACGTAGAGATGAAGGTGTTAACTTCGGTCCTCAGGTCCATTTTTATGTCACCGATGCGTCCACTGAATTATAGGTGTGAGAGCCATTATCTCTCAGGAGCACCTTGAAAAAGAGATGTCTAATCTCAATAATGTGACTTTCCGCATTAAATAAATCCACCATGTTCAGTAGTTCTTCTTTCTTAAGGGAAAAAATGTCTTATCCTTCCTTCCATTCACCTCTTGTAATCTTAAAAGAAAAGAACATCAAAGAAATTTGAATTTTTACTCACCAGAATTGATTTGTTTCTTTCTACTTGGTATTCTTTATCATACGGTGCGTATGGGCGTCGTGTGCACGCACGCGTGCGCGTCTGTGTGTGTGTGTTATGTAATGGATGAATAAACTCAGGAGATTCCATTTGCTCACTAAATGTTTATCATAGAAACTATTTTCCTTCATTTTGACTTTTCTCTGTATTTCTTATACTAAAGTATATGATTGCGAAAAAAAAGCAATTAGCCTAATAAGCCTAGTTTAATGAACACACCTCTGGGGTAAATCTTGGGCAATGCCAAAGAAAGTATTTAACAAGGATTTTCGAATGGCTCAGGAGGCTCTCACTTCTGCTTTGCAGATGAGATGCATTTGAGGAACATCCTGCAAGAGCTTTAGTTTCTTTTAAAAAATTCTGCTCTACACACAAGTAGACTAGTTCTACGCTAATAATAATGTGTGGCTTGGCATTTGCCGGAAAGTTTCTGACCAAAATCTATTCAATTTTGGCATCAATGTTGTGTCTTCTCCCTTATAATTGCATGAGATAACAGTTGATGGATTATATTGAATGAACACTTGAGCAATAGAAAGTAAAGAGAAAATTCCTTTTTCTGTAAATTTAACTTTAGATGACTTCTTTCTCTCTATTTACCCAAAGCAGGATATCCATCCCTCCCGAGCCTCATATTCCCTCAACCTCAAAGAAACTGGAATAAATATTGATAGAAAAAGAACAAAGGAACAAAGGTAAAATTACTTGTTAGCATTAGTGCCCCCAACCAGTGTCTTGGTTTACTGAGTGACAATAAGTTTGTATTTTTATTTTACTTATTTCTATTTTGACTATTATGGAGAGGCATGCAATCCACAAACATATAGATATAGCAGTAACTTTAGAGACAAGTCTTAAATGAATGGCATGTACCTTACTTCATATTTAAATTTAGATATGAAATTATTTAGCTTGAGAAATCCAGAGATGAGGTTCCCTTGAGTCAGAATTTTAGAGCTAGAAGAGATTATCAAGATTACTTAGTCCAGTTCTCTGAATCAAAAAAAGGACTACAGAGATAACTGGCAGTTGGTTCTAATTAAGGGTAGAGACAAGACTAGAGTCCATATCTTCAGTAGACTATAAAATGATCTTTCTTTCCCTTTAATCACTGTCAAAATAATGTCTTCTTATAACACTTTGTTGTAAACACAGCATTACAAAATCTTAAATATTTAACACTGCACGCTTTGACCAACTGGCATGATCTCCCTTGTCTGTGTGCCCCTCTGGTATTTACTGGCTGAATGTCAGCTCTGCTTGGAAACTATTAATGAAGATTTCTTCGTGTTTCCTGACACACTGTGCTTGTATTAATACAGCTAAGAATTGCGCTTCTCTTAGTTACAGTGCCGCGTTACTATGCCAGGTTTCACGTGGGGTGAGGTCTGACCTCAAATGCCTCTCTGGCTTAGACAAGTCAGTCTAGCTCTCTCTGGATATTTTCTTTTTTCTTACCTAGTGGACGTGAGCGGCACCTGGCACTATATTATTACTTCATCCTATTTAGACCCACAGGCTATTTCATCTTATAAAGGTCATGTCTATTTTAGCTACTTTCAGCTAATTCATAGCCATCAGAAAATGATTTAGAGAGCAGATTCACTGAAGACTATCTATACCATGGCCACACTTTCAGTGGATTCAGTCAAATTGGTAAAAATCAGTCCAGATAGTTGTTTTCCTTTTTAAAAATTAAACAACAGATTAATTTATCGTGTTACCTTTTAGTAATTGTGCTGGATTGTTAGTGAAAAGCATCAATATTGTATAAGGGTCTAACATAGGTGAAATGCCACCAGAATTTTGACTGCTTGATCAAAAATATCCACTGGTAAAACTCCTCCTTGGGAATGACCCCTAGCGGTTTTACAGTCACCTGCTGATAATTTGATTTAAATCACATTGCCTCAATCTGTTGGTGAGTACCATATGCCATTTGGGATAGGATGAAGAGATGTATTTTGGTGAGACATATTGTGTCTATTTCCTTCTCCAACCTAGCAAGTTTGTCAATGTAATAGAAAAAGATGATTTTTTATAGCTTCTTAGAACTTGGTGTTTGAAAGCTTTTCTTAATTGGGTTCAATAATTTTTAACAGAAGCCACATGGTCGACAGAAAACTGTCGTGACTAACTTGAGCATGATAGAAAGTAAGGTTCTTTTAAATAATTAATAGCTGCTAAAAGGTCCCATGCATTATGGAGAGAGGAGGGAGAAGACTAGATTTAATCAGAAGATTCAGGAAGGAGGTTTGATGAGAGAGATTAATCAAACGAGAGCATGGTCATATAAGGGACAGGATCAGATGATTCACTCACAAAAATGAGTAAGAGCAAAGGAAGCAGAAGATGGGGGGGGGGAGGGTGACATGATGGAGAAGGTCGCAGATGTGGTGGTAGTCAAATGTCAAACCTCATTAAAGAAGTTGTCCACAACATCGCTAATGAGCTGGAAAAAATGTGTGACAAACGTGGTTAGAGGCTTTTTTGCACAAATTCAAACTCAGGCCAGGTTGCTCAATGGGTCTTCAGAGAAATGACAAACTCTGGAGTGAATCCTAGCCAAGGAGAGCTGTGTTAGCAGACTTTCCCTAACCACATAACTTTGGCAATTGAGACAAAGATAAAGATACCTTACCTCCTTGAGGTAATACTGAATTGGCTTCACCTATATGTTGCCACTTACAATTGCTACAGAAGGTATCAGGGTTAGAGAAACTAAAATGAGAACAACAAACAAGGCAACACAGTTTTTCTAAAATGTCAGGATCAAGCAAGGCCAGGGGCCAGATATCAGTGAGCAGAAGAAGGATTTGATGGAAATCTGTGTTCCTCTGCCAAAGGAGTTAACTACACTGAGCCACCTAAGCCATCTGTATATGCAGAATGACCTTGGCAGAAGTGGAACACATTATTTGTTTCCATGGAAGGTTGTTTTTTTGGTTTTTTTTTTTTTTTTTTTTCTAAGTCAGGCTACATGGTCTAGTGCAGAGGTGTCCTCACTTTTCCTGCCAAGAACTCCTGGGCATCTGATGAAATGTTGTGAATTTCTTTCAAGTTTTTGATCTAAGTTTGTCCTCCATGTCTGCTTTAAAATTAATGGATTAAAAAAGTCATCAGACCTCACCTCATTTTCTTTTCCTTTTCTTCCTCCAATTATAAGAAGAAGGAATGATCTTCTGCAGTCATCTATTGATTATGTCACTCTCTTTAAATAACTTTAAAAGAACTCCTAGTTTTGATTTGCATCAAAATAAAATGTTCTGACTCTCTTCCTTTGTCCATCCTGTACCTTACTGTTCTTTTGTTTCACACACTGTTCTCTCCTCCCTTCTGCAGCCAGACATAAACTCTTTGCCATCTAGCTTCCCTTATTATTTTCTTCCCTTAAGATTTGCTATTATTCTCACTTAAAGTGGCATGTGCACCCCTTTCCATTAAACCAGGTCACGTATTTCTGTCCAAACTCTAATTTTTACACTGTTATTGCAGCTGTCTCCTGTTGTATGTATATACCTATTTCTATACTCTTAAAACCTCACATGCATTTATATTGTTCTTTTCTCCACCAATAGTTTGCAATTTCCTTAAGGACAGGAGCCCCATACCCTTCTTTTTTGTCATTATCTTAGTGTAAGGCTTCTCAATGTCAATTGATTATTGGTCCTATTTATGTACATGTAATACATGTACATAATTCAATGTTCCTTTGCTCTCCACGCAAGCAGGGGCAGACTGTATTGCTCTGTTCTCAGATTAATCGTTTTGCTTTTCCTTTTTTTCAGGTTTCTATGTCAAGTCTTAAAATGTTTCCCTTGAAATAATAACAAGAGCACTTGTATGAGCACACTGTAGATGAATCCAATGTGCCAGGTCATGCTTTGGAAGGCTGAGTGTGAGACCAGTAAGAAACCCATAACTCTCTGTTCTACCCAGTGGTTACCTGACTCTGTGTTTATGTGCATAATGTTAGGTTCTTACATTCTCATCAGTAGCCAGCATGCCTGTTATTCTGTTTATACTTAGAGTGATACCAGAAGTATCACTTTTCTGTTGATTAATTTATATTGTTTAATTCTGTAGCATGTTGCTATGCTCCCTGTCCCTCTTAATTACTTATTGTGACAATTAACCGACCAAAAACAGTTTCTCTCACAAAGATTTCCAGAGGAAAAAACAAAAACATAAAAAACATTGTAAATGATGCCATTTTCTGCCTAAGCCTCTCTTGAGTCCCAGCCATGATCATGTTACTTGTTACAACAGATCTGCTGGCAAACAAACTCTGAGGGCAACGCATTGAGACACTGCAGACCTTTAAATGTGAAGAATTTAGTCCTAAACATGTGTTTGTGGGCATGTGCAATATCCACTCCTTTTAGAATGTCTCAGACTGACCCCAAACAACCTTTTTATGGAATCCTACCCTCAAGGACTAGTATTAGTTATATAATTGCCCTACTATTACCCTGTCTCTCAGGGTGTAAGTCTGCCTTTGAGACCATTGTAGTAACTTAAAATATTTGTTAACCAGCAAGTAGACAGACTTAGGATAAGCTCCTATTCTAGGAGGCCATAAATTTTCCATTGTACCCGTAATGTCCAATTTAACCCCTCAATATTTCTCTCAACAACTTTTTTTCCTATCAAATCTCAATAGCAAAAACAAAGCAAAACAAACAATAATTGAGAGAAAGAATTGAGATAGTCTAACGAGAATACTTCTCTGAAGTTTTATTACAATTCTAGCTAGGAAAAAAATGTATATATATGGATATGTGGTGCTGTTAGGATCTCTGTGGCATGTGAATTAGAGAGCACTTATAAGAGAGCTTTGTGAGGTGTACCTGGGGAGGAACGTTTGGATTAAATAATAAAGAAAGATAACACATTGATCCAAGCTATTATTTGTATTTTTAATTTGCACATTATGTAAAACTGCTCCCCTCAGATTTTGGAGAAGCTTGTTAACAATTCCCCACAGGACTGCTGGGTTAACTCCTCTGGGGTTGTATTTAGAGAATCCACCTTCTTAACAGGCTATTGTAAGTGTGGCTCTGGTTCAGGGAAGTTTGAGGACCACTATATACGCTAAAATAGTGAATAGAAATATTCATTGAGTGCTATGTGCTGTACTGGATGCTGAAATGCAAGAATAAATTAATCAGACCCACTTTGAGAATTCCCAAAGGCAAGTTATAACACCAAAGAAAGTGAACACAGTTTTGTATCCCTATAGAATTTATTCAAACTGTACCACTTGAGAACTGAGGTTTTAAGTAGGTTAGTTTTAGCTACTTTAATGGAAATGGATTTTCTTATCAATTAAATTAATCTGAATAATTTATTTAAAAGGTTCTAAAATCTGAATAATTTATTTAAATAAATTTATTTAAAAGGTTTACTAACAATTACAGTAAGAAAGTTTTGAAAAGTTGTCTGCCTAAGCCAGTCTAAGATGTTTTGGTAGGCAAAGTTGTGTCTTTGGGGCCCCGTATTTTCCTTTCTTTGTCTCTAGCATCTCCCCAATGTTTCTTCAAGGCTCCCGTGACCTCCTGGCCCTTCCTTTGCTCTCCTGTCAAAATTGCTCAAATGATATGGGTATAATGAGAGTGCTAAGATGGTAGTCAAGAGAAATGGGTTTGCACTGTGCCTCTGATACTAAATAAATTATATGGCTTTGAGCAAGTTCCTTGAACTCTCTTTGAGTTTCCTTACCTGAAAAAAAATAAAGGGTAGAGTTTTAGGAGCCGTGATATGTTGTCCAGTCCTCTTTCTATGATTCATTGAGTTGTCTGTGCATTGCACTTTAAGATGAAGATGGAGGTCTTCGTTTGGCAGGAGGAGAGATTGCATGAAGAGGAGTCACGGATGTATTGCTTATGAATTTTGAGCAGGGATCTCAGCAGGGTTCTTTAGAGCTAGTGAGGAGTCAGAGCACTGGGTCTGAGTAAGCTTAGCTCTACCTCTGACTTGGTGTGTGAAATATGAACATATCCCCTGGCTTCCCTGGGATTTATTTTTCTCACTTTGGGGTGGAGACAGCAATCACAACCTTTCTCACGGTGTCATTGACATTACCGAGGGGATGAGAAGATGTTTGTAAGGAACATGGTGGGCATTCCATAAATATGTCTCCATTCACTGTGAAGATGCAGTTTATTCAATGCCTCACTTTACCTTCCCAAAGTTGGTTTATTTAACAAGCACACAGAGAACTCCTAATATTCTAGGAACTAATTTAAGAGTTTGATTTTAACAGTAACTCTATTAATCCTCATAACAAGACTGCAAGGAGCTATTATGATCCCATTAGACAGTTAAGGAATCTAAGACTCATAATCTGCCCACAGTCACCCTCATAGCAAGCAAGTCTGGGTCCACAGCCTGTGCTTTCAATCATTGTTCTCCCAGCTTAGACAGAAGGTCAGAAAACAAGAAATGGAATGGAATGCGGGCAAGTCAACTGTGTTATTTGTCAAAGGCTGCATAAATTTGGTGTATCAGAAAGATATCATAGTAATTTAGAAAACATCTAAAATTGTAAATGTTAACCTACAAACAGTCCAACCACCAGGTGTTGCTTTTGAAGAGACATTAGTCCCTTAGGAATATTTACACAGCATCTTAAATATGTATAGCAACCCCTCGCAGTAAAACCAAAGGGGGAGGACATTCAGAATCTTGAAATAGGAGTTGCAACATTTCTTAAACACTCTCTTTCCTGCATGGCTTCCCATCTCACTTCTTCTAGGAGTGGTGCTCACAAAGGTCTCCCCTGCTGGTCTTCTAACTCCTAAAAATCTTCCCCAGCTCAACAGAAACAACAGCCTACCTGCAGCCCCAGGTGCCTTGCCTTCTCTCTCTTTATTATTTATATCATTATGCATTATCTTATTTTCTTAAATCCCTTTTAAGAGACTTAAGGAATACTCTAAGAGAGTACAAATGTAGCATGCTGCAAGGATAGGTCTTGTTATAGAAGTAATCACTAAGGCCTGTTGCTTACCTGGTTTCCCTTAGTCTTGTGCATGGAATCTTGACTGTGATGGTCAGGTTTTCTTTTAGCTGGAGATTTTACTGGGGCTTCTGGGTGGCTCTGTCTGTTAAGTGTCCACATCCTGATTTTGGCTCAGGTCATGATCTCACGGTTCGTGAGTTTGAGCCCCATGGCAGGCTCTGTGTTGACAGCCTGGAGCCTGCTTGGGACTTTTTCCCTCTTCCTCTGTCTCTGCCCCTCCCCGACTTGCTCTCAAAAATAAATACAAATTTAAACTGGAGATTTTAGAAAACAAGAAAATGATTTGCTAAGAATAACTATGGATATGAACTACTGTATCTACCATTTAAGATATGATAAAACCCAGCACAATTATTCACAATAAACCGAATGATCATTATTTCTAATATGAATTTCCAGTCTTGTCTTGGGAGCAAATGGCCCTATTTAGCCAATGAGAACTGAGAGAAAAATTCTGCTCAGCATTGGTTTCAAGTGTTAATTTTTTTTTTTTTTTTTTTTTTTTTTTTTTACTGCTCAAATTCTGCCAAACTTCTTGGGTAACATGAGATTCTGCCCTGAGATGTTGCTTCCTTATTTCGGGTTCCTTTTGCGACAAGCAGGGCAATGCTTGGCCTCTGCTTATGTAATTCTTCAGAGGGAACTTTTAGTACAAACTTTATATCATTCATATTTCTAATGGGGTTCACTCCCAGCAACATGCTCTGCCAAATGCCTGCTATTAATTACTTATTGCCTGGGGTACGATTTCCCTTGATTGAAACATGGCCCTGAAGCTTTCTGTTTCCATAGGAGTCCTCCATCTTCTTGCTCAGCAGCCTTTATGTTTTTCATTCTTCAAACTTTGACTGAGTACCACTTACGCGAGACACCTCTGGGCACTGAGATTACCAACACAAATAAAATAACAACCTTTGTGTTCTGGAAGCTCACCCTTCACAGTGGGACAGCTGTATAGATGGATACCTATGATATTAGTTGATAAGTGCCTTGATAGAGCTATCCAGGTACCATGGCGACCTAAAAGAAAGCTATCAATTGCATGCTAGCAAGGTGGACAGGGAGGGCTTCACCAAGAACTTGACCTCTACGTCAAATTTTGAAAGGGGGTTGAAATTAGGTAATGAGTGATGTTGGAGAGGCCAGAGCACTCCAGAAGGAGAAGCAGGATGTGCAAAAACATGAAAAAGTCAGAGAGTTGGTGCATTCATGAAATTAAAACGTATTTTCTATGACTGGGAATAAAGTGTGCAGGAGAGATGGCAACACGAGGATGGCAGAGGCTATCGGGGCTAGGTCGTGAGGTGTCTTGGACTTTACGCTAAGGTCTGTGACTTTGTCCTGAAGACACTAACCTTGATTATATTTCAGGCCTATTTCAGAATTGAAGGAGACAGAGCACCTCTTGTAAGAAAAATGAACATCCACATAGAAAAACTCAAATTCATGCAGATTTCAGAAAGTTTTCAAGTCTCCAGATTAAAATCCGGTGCTTTAGATGAAGAAGAAGCATGGACTTAAGTTGGAGAGAGGTATGTTCATATCTCTCAGCAGAGGAAGGAGTTTGCTGTAGAGAGCGGTGTATACAGGATACTTGGGGTACAGACACTCAGTTAAGAGATGGGTGCAGAGAGCCTGGTGAATAATTATGGAGGCATACACTAAAACACTGGTCTTTGACATTGAGCAGAAGTGATCGTGGCCTTGGATTTGAGGCCTATTATGAATGTAGTATTGTTAGAAAGTATTAATTAATGGGGTGTAGTGGAGACTGAAGTGGCCCAGAAAAGAAGAGGTGTAGAATTAACGGACTTCAAAGCTCTACAAGAAGTCTTTTCAGTGTAGCCCAGGCTGAAGCTTTAGGTAGGTCAGAAGCTCAGAATTTCACTAGTCTGAATTTTGCCCTTTTGTATTTTATTTAGATTTCTGTCCTTGCTAAATTTAAGGAATGGATCCCATCGGATCCCATTTCTCCTTCCTTCCTTCCTTCCTTCCTTCCTTCCTTCCTTCCTTCCTTCC